GTGTTGTTAGGGTATTTGATATTGTAGGCAGACATACCATTATTGTAGTTGTGAATGTAATTCAGTACCAAGGACAGAGGTGTCTGTCTAGATGGTATCCTTTGGCAGAAACATGGCCCTGTTAGTGTGATTGTCATTCAGCACTCAGGACAGAAACTCCAGGGTGAATATATTTTAACAGGGAGGGAGTAAATGTTCTTCAGCACTAAAAAATACAACAGTTCGTTAGACTATTGCACCCTATAACTGACATAACACATTCCCCTCGTCAGCTCCCTCAACCTGCAGCCAAAAACAAGACCAAAGTACCAGTCACGACTGCCAGCTTCCAACCCAGCCACAGCCGAGTCACAGCAGGTGTCTCAGGTGCCAGCTGCAGGAACAGCTGTCAGGAGGCACGTAGGATCGACTCCCACGTGCCCAGCTTAAGGCGCAGCCCAGGTGAGCTTGTTCCTCAATCAAACTATCAGACTATAAACTTCAATGGAAGATCCTGGAAAAGGTTGCACAATAGCTAACAAGAAGATAACTTCCTGTCAGTGTCTCTGATGTGCCTTGCATATGGAAAAAAACTATGGAAACACAAGCAAACATACAGACACACTGACAACAAAACCTTCATACATGGATGTAATAATTAAATTGGTGGCCAGGTAGATAAATAATTGGAGACATCTACTCTATCATAATTCTATTGATTCTCTTCCTAGAACCGAGGTCCTTTGACAAACTGAAAGTTGGATACACATCACATGAACCTGGGCAACAAACCAAGAGACCTGTGTCCAGCACAGGACTGTTCGATGCACTGAAGGAAGTGGAGGTCAGACAATTACACAATATTCATATGACAATTTTGGAATCTATGACATAGCATACTTAGATTTTTTGTCAGCATGCATGCATATGGTAGCTGCTGCTTATTGAACATATGTATGATAAGAATGTCTTGTGAGGCTTGTGCACAACAGGCTCTACAAGTATCTTACGGACAACAACCTCCTGAACCACAAACAGTCTGGCTTTAGGAAGGGGGACGGAACCGTTCTTCAACTTCTCCGTCTAATCGACGACTGGGGAAAGTCGATAGATGACCCCAACGTTGCCTGCACTGCTGCGGTGTTCCTGGACGTGAGACGTGCCTTTGACACCGTATGGCACGACGGCCTGATCTATAAACTATCCCGATACGGAATCAGCGGCCCACTCTGTAACTGGTTCTCTGGCTACTTATCAAACCGCCAACAACGCGTGGTCATCAACGGTGTGGCTTCTTCCTGGGGTTCTACAACAGCTGGCGTACCGCAGGGGAGCATCCTTGGGCCTCTGTTGTTTCTGATATATCTAAATGACATCCAAGAGTTACCCAGCAAATCCAGCATCAATTGCTTTGCGGACGATACCTCTTTGTATAACTCCGGACGCACAGCCGTTGAAGTGGCCAACACGACCAACGCTGACCTGTGTATTGTCTCCAACTGGTTCCATGACTGGGGGTTGCAGCTGCACCCCGACAAATGCAAAGTCATGTGTATCAGGACACTCCAAAGTAAAGTGAAATTACCACCTATCTACATAGCAGGCCAGCGCGTTGAAGAGGTGACCTGCTACACACACCTAGGTGTTACAATACACTATACACTTCGCTGGAAGGAACACTCAGAAGTGGTCTGCCGCAAGTCGAGGCAAGTACTAGGGCTGCTGGGCAAACTCCAAAGCAAGCTACCTCGTGAAGCCATGGAGATTGCGTACAACACTCTCGTCCGCACCAAGCTGGAATACGCGTCCGTCCTCCTCAGCAACATCAGCTCCACGGCAGCTAAATCCCTTGAGCAAGTCCAGTACCATG